AAGGAGAAGGAGATGGGAATATGGGAAGATATGGTATAATTTGGGTGGGGTGGGAGGGGTAATTTTTTATCAAACATTTCATTCCATTTCAAGTGTGTCGCCTCAATTGGTTGATTTCGCCTCCTCCTTCCGTGAAGTGCTCCAATTGCTTAAGGAATAACTACGAGAATCGTGTGGGTGTAAAGGTGTCTGGGGCTCCTATTCGTGATGACGGATCTGTATAGACGTATATATACATTAGGGATGCCAATCGTTGGCATTAGCACTTGCCATCGAAACCACTCAAGAATGTATCGTGCTCCTTTCCTTCTTCTACTTGCCATCGTGTGCCTCGGGGCTATTGTCAATGGAATGACAATGGCACGAAACAATACGACAAACCCAGGGACAGGAAATGATACGTCAGGCTCAAACTCGACGGCTGGAAATGACACAATGTCCTCAGTACCAACAACCACCTCCTCGGGTTCACTCACCTTCTTCTCCAGTCTACTTCTACTTCCCTCCATCCTCCTCTCAATTCATTTACAGTCTTAACGCTATGTTTTCCTATAATTTAACTTGTTTAGTTTCACTAAAGCTTTTAACTTGACCATTTACTGAACTGACATTCCGAAATATATTAATTAATGAATGATATACCTTGTGTATGTTCTATTTCATATTTTGAGTTGTTCTTCAATATGGGTACATGAATAAGTGCTTTCAACAAGATGCGTATATGTGATAGAAGGCTTTTATGAAAGTTACGATGTTGTTAATCGTTCCACGTGTGAAATTGGCGTGGCTTTGCTTGGAAGTCCAGTTGAGGGGACTGAGTGGACAGAATGGTGCAGTCAAATGTAATCTAAGCAATTTGCTAATAGTTTCTGTTGAAGCCTACCTCAAGAGTTAGAATTCTGTCATAGCTGAGGAAGTACAACACTGATACTGCGCTTACGTTGTTCATGGTTAGGTCGCGTCTCCGCAAGTCTTTGTCAATCGTCACCTCAGTATCTGGTTGGTGAGGAAATGCTTTCTTGTGACTCGAATATAGGCGGCAATTAGGTGCAGTGGACGTGGATGCTGAGAGGGGGGACCGTCTGAATGTGATGAGTATCTTTTCTTTTTGAAGACTGTGATGATATTTGTAAATGTATAAGCTTAGAAATTTGTCAGTGAAGAGATTCGAGTTTTATGGATATAGGCATTACTGTTTTGATGAACTAATGAGGATTATTAACAGTTTTGTCGACTTTTTATCGAATTTGAATCGAATATGCCACTCCAATTCTGTGGACTATGTTCAAACTAACCTTTATAAATGGGACTTGGACCTTCCTACGTACTTCATGCACTGTGTGGCCAAGATCAAAGAGGTCCATTTCAAATGGACTTCGTACACAGATTGACTAATACTTTGAATGGTTCGCGTTGAACAAACTGAATACACACGACAATCGTTGGCATTAGTGACTGAACTTACAGTTCCAAATTTAGCTATTATTTTCCTTTTTTGCTTAATCTTTAATTTAGAATTCTAAGCGACTTACAGTCTAGTTAAGTTTTAATGAGGATTGACAACACAATGGCACGAAAAAGTAATCATAACCGCCTTTAACAAGTGTCATCCTAACACTGAGCAATATACAGTTAACTCAACATGGCAACTTTACATCACGTGAACCTCTAAACGCCTTCAATGTCATTGCCTTAATGATATATTGGCTTTATCTTCTCCATACCTCACCTATTCTCCCTAACTTTGTGTCTGTCTATTTTGCATCATTAAAACACTCTTCTGTTCCCCCCCCCCTCTCGACTTTTTTCATTTCGATGTTCCTCCTCCTCTCTGTGAAGCCTGAAGTCAACCAAAGGGGTAATGATAACCATCTAAACAACTGTCATTTGATGCAAATAAAAAAATCTTCTCCACATCGCAAATCTTGCGTCAGAACAGTTAAACACTTGGCTTTTGACACAAATGCTGATGTAATATTTGAGTAGTCATTTTTCTTCTGGCATCACAAGCTTCTGAATAATCCAAGTAGATGATTCAGATCGTCCATCTCTTTTCAAAAATTATAGTAAATCCGTGAGCCATTTCGTGTGATCAATCATTCCTTTAATTTAGAGGATTCAGATAAGTACAAATTCTTAGACAACGTGGCAAAATGCAACCGAATACGTCTCAAAGCGTAGATTAATGTTTGTTATACGGGATGTGCGATAGACTTTCCTCCACGTGGTGCACCCAGGGCAACGTATACTCATACGGCAAAAAGTCTATCAACTGGCAGTTGACTTCTCACTTCAAACTGCCATCACCCCACTGCATGTCATATTTGACTCCGTCCACAGTATTCACCTCAACTTTTTCCTACCTTTGTGTCTGTCTCTTTTACATCTTTGAATCACTCTTCTGTTCCCCCCTCCCCACCATCTCGACTTTTTTCTCTTTGACGTTCCTTCTCCTCTGTGAAGCCTGAAGTCAACTAAAGGGCTAATGATAACCATCATAATGACTGCCATTTGATAGAAATAAATGCTTGTTTTACTATGTTATTTAAAAACAAGCTGTCACAACCCACAATAGATCGCGTTCAATCTATCAGCCATTACTTGATACAACGGCTGCATGTCGTGTGATAAAAAAGGGAGAATGCACATTTTTGGTTTATTGGGGTCATCCATTTGATGGTTTAAATTGACATGAAAGTCAGACTCAGAAAAACAGAAACAAAGATTAATATATGCAAGCAAATAAATCAAACGAATTATTTCCAATGGCTATTTATAATAATTGTAGAGTGGCAGTAAGGCCCTAGTGAAACAGAGCCTGGATGAATTCATGAAAGTATTCCATGACTTTTTGTTAAGTTTCACACTTCCTGCATTCAAGTGATGCACAAAACCACAGATTCGACAGTCCAAACGTTTGTCCACCTACATGGGAGAGAACACATTGCTACAAACGCGAACAATCGACTTACTTCGCCTCGATTCAGGGGGCTATGAACTCACGTAGATTTGTCCATGCGCCTTCCAGGCGAAATATTCGGCGTAAGCGGTGCGATTTTTGTCCAGGTACAGCAAATAGTTCGCCAGATCTTGAAAGCTCCCGAAATCATCTACGTTGATATATGAATGTGGAGGGAGAGTGTTTGCGTAATCCACCTTACGGGCACCCATTACAACTGGAACGAGTCCATATCTACAAGAGTTGCATCTTAAATCACCTCACTGTTGGGGTCATAAACACACGTGCTTGCAAGCGCTTTCGTTTGCATTTACACTCGAGGGAGCGAAGCAATCATGCAAGATTTTACTGTTGTCAGTCACTCGACGCACCTCATGGAACTGGAGGTAACCTTTTCGGTGATGTAGTAGAAGCAGTTGGAATTCTCGAAGGCCAAGTAGAATTTGTAGTTGTCTGATATCCACTGAAATGGATCGAGACCTGGTGGAGTTTGTTTGCCTTCTTGCCCTTAAATGTCTACCTTTACCAGGTTTTGAGGAATAAACATAGGCCATAAATTGAAAAGATGTGCACATTCAGAATTTTGCATAGTGCACGTTAATAATCGCATGTTTTAGCCCTAAATCGGGAGTGTTCTGCTTCTAGCAATAGTAATAATGATAAAGAAATAACAATTTAATTTAAATTATGGCAACTTATAGGCTAGAGCATACTTGCAAAATTTCAAAAATAAGATGAGATAGGGAAGATTTGGAAAATAACTCGTGCTCTTTCTAATTGCACCAGAGACCAAATCGAGGCAAATGCAGAGTGCATCATTTCAAGGGATATCGGTTCCAATTCACCACCCCCGCCCACCTGCCACATTACATAGAGGAGTGTCTTCAATTAGGGGGGTATTCTGGTCTACTTTTTGCATATTTTCATAGTTTAACTATTTAAGAATATGTCTACAAGAGGATTGTTTAAAATTCAAATTATTTTGGGAGATATAAGTATTTTGCTGATCAGGCATCCAAATCGGTTGGGCTGCAACTAATCGAACAAAAGACATAATGGGTTCTCCGACTACCTGAATCTATATTTCTTAGTAAGCCCCTTTGTTCTGTTAATCTATCTATCTTTCTCTGTATATATATATATATATATATATATATATATTTCACGACAATAGATTGACGGAACAGGAAAATATCAGTTTTTCACGACAATAGATTGACGGAACAGGAAAATATCAGTTTTTCGAGTGCATCAGCAGCAAAATTGAGGAAATCAAATGATGAAGAAGCAAATGTAGAGTTTTTCGGTCGTATTTTTAATGAAGGCTTTAAACCGATATTGAAGATGATGACGATTATGGGAGTGAAAATTGGTCCAGAAGAGCATGCATTTGCTATCAGACGAGACAACGCTCGGATTGACCGCTCCGAGATACGAGCACCCAATGCATCAAAGGAGGCCAGAACTGCTCAAATAGAAAACAGAGACACCAAAAATAGGTTTTTCGAAGTCTAGGAAGGTCCAATGTATGCAGCAGGAATGGCAGTTGGAATAAATGTAAGTTAAAAATAAAATTTTAGGACTTCGACTGTAAAAATTTTATTTGAAACTTTAAAAACGTTTTTCTTAGAACTGTCTATTTGAAACTGATACCCACGATTTCTCCGATTCTGCAGAACCGATTTACATAAAATTTTAGGACAGTCTTTTTTAGGGACTTAGCTATGTCCGGAACTACGGCCATTCCCAAATTTTTATTTTTAATATTTTTAAAAAATCTAAGATTATTCAAAAAGTGGTAAAAAATGTTTTTTTTCTTTTGACCGTCGCCATTTTAAAAAATATATATATCTAATACTTTTCCGTAGTTTCGGACATATCGACATTATTGTAGATTGATAATCATTTTTATTTTTTGATTTCAGTTTACTTGGAGAGTTAAAATCGTGGGTATGGTCACACCATATTTTTGGGACGTCCCACTCCATCAACTGATAACTAATGGAATTTTCATTTTTTTGTTTTTTTTATTTTTTTGCATGCTTTTAATGTGAATAAATAATGTATAAAAAATAAATAGTAAAAATAATTTGCTTGAGTTTTTGACAGAACTTCAAAAATGACCTAAAATTCATGTCTCTAGTTCAGAATACCCCCCTTAAAGTATCTGAAGGAAAGATTAGCCATTGTCTTTTTAGACTAACTAGCCAATCACATTTATCTGCAATTTGCAGTAACACAAGCACTGGTACGCAGTCGTTATCGTCTGCAGACTTGGGCCTCAATCGAATTGCGCCAACGTCTCTCACCATTAAAAGGGCAACAATAACTTGTGCTGTAGCTTTCGGTGTGTGTTTTATTTGGAATTCACTTTTATCCTTATATCAACTGATATGTTTCAATACAACATCGATGGCATCTAAGTATCAACACCGTTCAATTTAACCTTAGCGCAGTGCTTATTAGCTTGATTCATTAGCACACCAAGATGAAATTTTCCCGCGAAATGGCAACTTGAGCACAATTGCCACCTCTCTGTATTCGAGTGCGTCGCAAGCTGTTCTCTCAACAGCTTTAA